TATTTTCTTATTTCATTGCAATTCCATTCTTGTGAGACTTTTGTTTGGTACAACAAGGCATTCAGTGTAAAAGGATATTCTGCCATTCCATCAATCCATTGAATAGGGTCACCCTGTTAAACTCATGGTATCATAATTATTTCAGACCTTGCTCACTTTGTAAATATAATGGCTCTTCTGAAATGGTGAAATGCCCTCCTTTTGAATAATCAAAAATATTTCTTTAAATTTTCCACGATGTCAGACCTATTTAGGTTGTCAGTATCAGTATCAGCAAATTCACTGAGTATACCTAGAATAAATAGAACAACTCTTGTTTTCTTACTTCGATGGTGCTGTTTGTACATCTTTTGTCCAATGGCAACTGAAAGATCAGCATACAAACTACCATCCCCATTGCTTGTGTTTCTCACCTTTGGTTTTTTTGTCCTCTTTTTTAGCCAGTGCACGAGAAAGATCTCTGAGCTCATGATTTAATTCTTTATATTGATCTTGCATAAAATAAATGCTCTTACAATGCTGAAACCTCTTGAAAATTTCTGCCACCTCACCAAATCTCTCACCTACACCAATTACAATGTCTGTAGTGAGGCTTTCTGGTGGGAAGCAAAGCCATTCGAGGGGATCTTTAATTCCAGGTTGTTTCATTGCCTCAACAATGGTAATATTAAAAAATTTAGCAATTCTCTTGTTACCATCATCACATGAACCTTCAGGGACCAGGACAGAGACTTTTACCAGAGGGAATTTAGCCAGTTGTACGGACAACTCTGTTGTGAGGGTTGATAAAGATGAATCACCCCGCCCCCACACCCAGTCAGTTGCTAGGATGGTAACTTTGAGTGGATTGCTGGAGGAATATCTTCCATCACAATGCAGCTGATATATTATTTGTTTGGCACAATTCTCTGCTTGTTTTTTTCTCTGCAAAAGAGGAATCACATGTTTTACAGCTGATGATAATAAAGGTAGCTTGGAGACCTCTCCATTGTTTGTATACGTAATGTGTATAAATGTGCCTCACTGTCATGTTTAAACACATTTATAAGTATATTGTATCATTCACAGCTATAAATCATGCCATGGTGCCACAGATATATTTTGGTAATGGTGCATCAAAATTTAAGTGGCCAAAATGTACTGCTTCACGCAAAATACTTTCTTTCAGACTGTTACAAATTAAACAAGGTTTCTGGTTTGCTGCTTGTTTGGCAAAGCTTTCTGCACAAACCCTGCTGCCACAAGCAGGGCTCTCGTTAAGTGCTGGCCCCCAGCTCAAGAACCAGGTCGATTTCTGAGCCGCTAATACTTTTCATGAAATAATCTGTGTGTAAGTTGAAATGAAAATAAATTGGTGCCAACTGTCTACTTCATGAAGCAAGCCATCTACTCCCTAAATTAATGTGAACCCTGCACAAGGGAAACTGTTGTTTCAAAATTAATGAAAAGTCTGAGCACGAGATTTATTTTGTATTTGCACTTATCCATGCACATTATGCTTTGCAGTCATGTAAGCTGCCTTTCTAAAATTTATCCACTTTAGCTCAACACCATAAAACACATCTACATGTAGGTTATATATACAGCGTAGGGTGTTAAAATCTTAATTTCTCCTGCAAAATCGTGTAGCCCAATCAAAGGGTTATCCTTCTGCTGGACAACGAATTGTAGAGGTAAAATTTAATAGTAATGCAACGTTGTTGAACTGTGATGCAGCAAGGTTTATGTTCATTACTTAATATCCAGCACAATTATTGTTTTGGTGTAGATCACAATGGCTGATTAACAAGGTGACATTAAATTTTGCATTTCTGATAATATTGATATCAGTCTAAATATCATAAGAATTTAATATTTATTTATTCTAAAATTTTGTTGTGTAGGGCATAATTATATGTGGTAGAAGATCTCTAACTAGTCTCATTACAACAATCTCTTAATAAATTTTCCATACTGCTTTCATCATGAAAAGAACTTCTTAATGCTCTTTTTCAAAAGTGCCCTCCTGGTACTTCCTATTTGATATTTTTCATCAGTTTTAAAGATAGCTTAAACTCATGAGAATTGTTCCATAGTTTTCCATTAGATTGCTCAACAGCACTCAGAAACAGAAATTTGCTATAAAAAGTTAGAAAAATGCAAGGTGTGATAAAATTGTGTTATTTAAGCATACAATGAAAAACTGTAATGATCTGAAGCGCAATCAAACCAAACTTAGTTTAGGTTGTCAGTATCAGTATCAGCAAATTCACTGAGTATACCTGGAATAAATGAAACAACTCTTGTTTTCTTACTTTGACGGTGCTGTTTGTACATCTCTTGTCCAATGGCAACTGAAAGATCAGCATACAAACTATCATCCCCATTACTTCTGTGTCTCAGCTCTGGTTTCTCTTTATTTTCTTCAGCCAGTGCACGAGAAAGATCTCTGAGCTCATGATTTAATTCTTCATATTGATCTTTCATAAACCAAATGCTCTTACAGTGCTGAAACCTCTTGAAAATTTCTGCCACCTTACCAAGTCTCCCACCTACACCAATTACAACATCTGTAGTGAGACTTTCTGGCGGGAAGTAGAGCCATTCGAGGGGATCTTTAATTCCAGGTTGCTTCATTGCCTCAACAATGGTAATATTAAAAAGTTCAGCAAATAATTCAGTAAATGTCTTGCCACCATCATAACATGAACCTTCAGGGACCAGGACAGAGACTTTTACCTGAGGGAATCTAGCCAGTTGTTCGGACAACTCTTCTGTGAGGAGTGATGAAGATGAATCAATCCACATCCCCCTCCATGGATTCCAGTGAGTTGCTAGGATGGTAACTTTGAGTGGATTGCTGGAGGAATATCTTCCATCACAAGGCAGCTGATCAATTATTTGTTTGGCACAATTCTCTGCTCGTCTTTTTCTCTGCAAAGGAGAAACCATTTGTTTTACAGCTGATGATAATAAAGGTAGCTTGGAGACCTCTCCATTGTTTGTATATGTAATATGTATAATGTGCCTAGCTGTCATGTTTAAACCCATTTATAAGTATATTGTATCATTCACAGCTATAAATCATGCCATGGTGCCACAGATATATTTTGGTAATAGTGCATCTAAATCTAATTGGCCAATATGTACTGCTTCGAGCAAAATACTTTCTTTCAGACTGTTACAGATTAAAACAAGGTTTCTGGTTTGCTGCTTGTTTGGCAAAGCTTTCTGCACAAACCCTGCTGCCACAAGCAGGGCTCTCGTTAAGTGCTGGCCACCAGCTCAAGAACCAGGTCGATTTCTGAGCCCCTTACTTTTCATGAAAATAATAATCTGTGTGTAAGTTGAAATGAAAATAAATTGGTGCCAACTGTCTACTTCATGATGCAAGCCATCTACTCCCCAAATAAATGTGAACCCTGCACAAGGGAAACTGTTGTTTCAAAATTAATGCAATGCCTGCTGTAACCTATTTCCTGTTACATGAAATTCAAAACCTCCAAAAACCGTCTTTCTCAAGAGCCATCCTGAAAATATAGTCAATTGTTTTGCAGTAAATGCATTCACCACTTGTCATTTTACAGTCTCCTTGCAGAGTTTTGCATTTAGTCCATATTTAATTGGAAATTGTGCCCTTTGAAGTGGAAAGTTTCGAACAATAATTATGTTAAATCAGGCCAACTCTTGCGGGATCTGTTCGCGAAGTGAAAGCCCCTCCAATACACTATATATGTCATGGTTTGTTTTACCTATAAGCCTAACTAATACTAGTCTCCCCGCAGCCGTGATGTTTCGGTCACGCAACACTCCCTCACAGACACGGCTGCTTCAAGCAGCACCACATTCCGTTAGCCAATCAGAGCGTGACTCTAGAAATCGAGAAGCCATTCCTGCCTTCTGGAAGTTCAACATGGCGGCTGTTGAAGAGGCGCACAAAGCTGTTTGTGAAAAATTCAGATTTAAAGAGCTTAATGCTTATCAAAGGGTTGCAATCGAAAAATTTATGCTGGGTAGAGATATTTTTGTGAATTTGCGGACGGGCTATGGCAAATCGCTGATATTCCAAGCTCTGCCAACCATGTTGGACATGGTAATGGCTCATCAGGGGAGTATTGTTGTTGTTGACTGCCCGCTTCCTAATCTAAGCAAGGATCAAGTTGCCTATTTGAATAGCCTGGGTATTTCTGCAATAAACATAAGTGATGTCGAAAATGAAGGAGATAGCAGAGACGTAGAAGCCGGAAAATATTCTCTTGTGTATGGGACACCTGAGTCCTGGCTCGATAACGATCGTTGGAGATCAAGGTTGACTTATAAAGTATACTCCGAAAAGCTGTGTGCTATCGCAGTGGATGAAGCCCATGTGATAAGGCAATGGTGAGTCATTTCTTGGTGAGTCAATTCTGATTGCCTCATGCATACAATCGAAACGGAATGTGGGGCTGCTTGAAGCAGCCGTGTCTGTGAGGGAGTGTTGCATGACCGAAACATCATGGCTGTGGGGAGACTAAACTAATACTTGAATATGAGCCAATTCGATTTTTTTACTGTTGCTGGTGAATGTTTGATTTTTCGCGACAACCTCTCTTAATAATAATAGTCACGAATAGATGATCGATGATGATGATAGCAGTGGTAATAATATTGACAACTTACTAAGGTTAGCTCAGGAACCTCACAGTACCTCTGTTGGTCTATCCTCTAGGCTCCAATAATGTTTAAACTGGACCTCTTTTTAATTAAGTTCAATTTTGCTTTTTAATTTAAAAACTATTTTCTTATTTCATTGCAATTCCATTCTTGTGAGACTTTTGTTTGGTACAACAAGGCATTCAGTGTAAAAGGATATTCTGCCATTCCATCAATCCATTGAATAGGGTCACCCTGTTAAACTCATGGTATCATAATTATTTCAGACCTTGCTCACTTTGTAAATATAATGGCT